CTCTCTTATCCAGGCTGGAGTACAGTAGCATAATCTTGGCTCACTGCAACCTCCGCCTCCCAGGTTCAAGTGATTCTTGTGCCTCAGCCTCCTGAGTAGCTGGGATTACAGGTGTGTGTCACCAGGTCCAGCTGAGTTTTGTATTTTTAGTAGAGACAGGGTTTCACCATATTGGCCAGGCTGGTCTTGAATTCCCTGACCTCAAGTGATCCACCTGCCTTGGCCTCCCAAAGTGCTGGGATTACAGGAGTGAGCCACCATGTCTGGCCCACATAACAATTCATTTTCTGTTTACATTTTCCAGTAGTGGAGACCTAGGGACCTCTTAAGGCAGTTCAAACCATTATGTAGGACAACTTTTATTGTTAGAAAATTCTTACACGACTTGAACTAAAGATTGACTCTTGGCATCCCTCCATATGCTGGTCCTGATTTTGCTTATCAGAGTGACCCAGAACAAGTGTCATCTTTTAGAACAGTCTCTCAGGCCAGGTGTGATGGCTTATGCCTGTAATCCTAGTGCTTTGGGAGGCTGAGGTGAGAACATTGCTTGAGGCCAGGAGTTTGAGACCAGTATAGGCATAATAGCGAGACTCCATTTCTCCAAAAAAGAAAAAAAATTAGCCAGGCATAGTGTTAGGAGCCTGTAGTCCCAGCCACTTGGGAGGCTGAGGCATGAGGATTGCTTGAGCTCAGGAATTTGAGGTTGCAGTGAGCTGTACACTGCTGCAACCAGGCTGGACAACAGTGAAACCCTGTTTCTTTAAAACGTCTTACTAGCGAAGACTGTGTAGAGAAGTTCCTGGGATGCTAATTATAAAATAAATGATATATTCTATGTTCTAGTTGCTAGCAAATAAAATATATTTTGTGTTTATGTTTCTTCATTCACAGGCAGCTGAAAAAATTGGATGAAGATAGTTTAACCAAACAACCAGAAGAAGTGTTTGATGTTTTAGAGAAACTTGGAGAAGGGTGAGTGTAAAGAAACTGTGGTAGGCCAGTGGGTCCCAGTCTTTTTCCTGCCCCAGAATCAGGAGGATATGAACCTTTCAGCATGGCTCTAGAAGGGGTGGAAGGTAAATTTATAGCTTGTGATGTCCTTCCTCACTCTACCCCAATCACTATTATAGACAGATTTAGTGATTTCTGGTCTGTTTAATACAAAGACTTTCTATTGTGTTCTCTTTTGTAGAATCTGTGGTTTGTATAATTTTATCTACTTAACAGATAACACTAATTCGATTATAATTCCATCAGAAATTTGTTTATTTGCTGCTCATAATTTCCGATTGGTATGCAATAACTGTTTCAATGAAAATTAGTGGAATTTAGCATTTTAATATTCGCACCTTTGTGAAATATAATAAAGAAATCAAGGACTAGTACCACCTTCGCAGCTACTTAGGAGACCCACAATCCCAGGTTGGGAGCCAGTGGATTTCTTGAAACACAGATTTGTTAATGAGTTTATAAAACACTGATGAGCGATATTAGTAATGTGCAGTGACCATCATTGACTTTCATGATACAATAAAGTTTACATAATTTTTATACTTTTATATATCCTTTTAATTCAATCCTGTGTATTTATTCCTTCTTTTGTAATGTTGAGGAAATTAAAATGTTAAGGACACCATTTCTTAAGTTTTTCTTGTTAATTTTTGAATAGGTAATACAATCATATAACTCAAAATTAAAAAAAAAAAATTAAGATGCATACAATAAAAAAAAAAGATTCCTCCTACCTCTGTCTCTTAGCTACCCAGAAGCACCCAGGGTAGCGGCTTCTTGTGTATCTTTCAGAAACAGGTTATGCATGTATAAGTGTGTGTGTGTGTGCGCGTGTCTGTGTGTGTCTGTGTCTGTCTATTTTTAATCCCTTGGGAGTATTTCTGGTTCAAGGGAAGACCTAACATACTAACTTGTAAAAACAACTACTGACTGATGACTATATGCTCTTTAAAATCATTTCCTTCCCATTTCTATAGTTTTTGGGGTTTAGTATTTTTTGTGTTAGGACACAGATTTACAACATTAAACCCAATCCTGGATTATATGAAGTAGTTTTTCATGATTTACCTCCTTGTAAAAAACATTAGTCATCGTCTTTTTGTAAGTTGGAAAAATACTCTTTGGAATCCAGCAAGAAATCAAGCAGAGAAGGGAAGTAAAAGATGACACACCAGCTGTGCTGTGAAAAGACAAGTCCAAGATGAATCTGAAGACTGCCAGTTGACTGGCTTTATTAAAGGTATGGGGAAATGACAGTCCCTCTGCATCTGTTGCCTGCCATTTTCAGCGTTAGCTTGGTATCTTTGCTATTTTCCTTAGGCAGCAAGGCCATGGCCTTTAATCTAACAATGCTCATAAGTTATCCTTAGAATAAGATAAAGACTGATAGGCATAATTGACTGTGACTAACTTATTTCTCTCATTTCTAATAAAATTTGCTCTTACTACTATAATATGAGGCAGACGTGGGTTAAAATCCTTGCTTTACTGTTTATTGGTCATAATAGACACATGAGTTTGAGCAAATTGCTTACTATTTTGGAGGTTCACAATCCTCATCTGTAAATTCGGGATAATAATATATCGATTCGCCGGGCGCGGTGGCTCAAGCCTGTAATCCCAGCACTTTGGGAGGCCGAGGCGGGTGGATCACGAGGTCAAGAGATCGAGACCATCCTGGTCAACATGGTGAAACCCCGTCTCTACTAAAAATACAAAAAATTAGCTGGGCATGGTGGTGCGTGCCTGTAATCCCAGCTACTCAGGAGGCTGAGGCAGGAGAATTGCCTGAACCCAGGAGGCGGAGGTTGCGGTGAGCCGAGATCGCGTCATTGCACTCCAGCCTGGGTAACATGAGTGAAACTCCGTCTCAAAAAAAAAAAAAAAATAATAATAATAATATATCGATTCATAGAGTTATGTTGTTACCTGAGGTAACTGGGCTAAAGTATAGTGCTTGTCACAATAATAAATGCTCAGTAAGTGGCAACTATTACTATTCTATTTTTAAATGTATCAACTGAAGCGTTTTTGAGACCTTATCATGTCAAGTCTTAAAGTGCATTTAGGTGTTCTTACAGGTAGCTCTGTTTGGGCTGATTGGGTTTGTGGAATGTCAAAGGAAAACTATAGACACAGAATATATCAGGAATATAATGTAAACAAAAAAAGCTAATTATGATTTTTAATTGTATTTTATTTATTTATTTGTTTATTTATTTATTTTTGTAGAGACAAGGTCTTACTGTGTTGCCCAGGCTGGTCTCAACTCTTGGCCTTAAGTGATCCTCCTGCCTCAGCTTCCCAAAGTGCTGGGATTACAGACGTGTGCCACTGCATCTGGACAAATTGCATTTTAGATCTATGGATGTTGTCTGTAAGGAATGTGGAAATTTCCCTGTGAAGATATCACCAGGGAGAAAACAAAGCTTCAGATCCTTCTTCCCATGCTATCACCTTACTGCTCTTCTAAATGATACCAGATTTCTGTTATTTCTTGGATTTCTGTCATTCTGACTGAAGGAACCTAAGCAAGCCTCATTTAACTAGGAATATTTTGAAGGAAGACCTTCACTACACTTCTTTTCCATACACGTGATGCGATGCAATGCTATTCTTAAACTGTTCTGGAGAATGAATGGATTGTGAACTCTTACTGACTTGTATCTTGTAAAATGAGCTCTGGCTAAAGGAACTGTTGGATTCTGGAATCTGCAGTCATTCTGTGTTGTGAGGAAATCATATGGATCTGTGGCAGAGTGGAGCCAAAGCTCCAGACCAGGATGAGTGGAGAGCACTTGGGAAGTGTTTTGAAGTGGAGCCTAGCACCTTTTTTCTTCTCTTTTTGCTTCTCAAAGTTGTACAAACTGACTTAGTTTTTATCATAGAAAGATAATAAAAGCATCTTGCCCATGGTTTCATAAAAAATGAGCACTATTGTTAAGACTTGTACCTGGTTAATTTGTCCTCAGATATTGTAGTATTTCCATTTTTCTATGTAGATCCTTGCCTTGCATGGCTTATGTAAAACACCTACTTCTCCATTCTCTGCTGTCAGTTGTAATTCATCGAATCATCTCATTTTGTTGTAGGGAATCAACTTTTAAGGGACTTACTTGTGAGTGTGATTGCTGAAGTCTTCTAACCCCCCGCTTCAGATTACTGTAAATACAGTACATAGAATCAAGAATCTGGTTTTTGTGTTTTTTTTAATTATAATAAGTTCTGAGGTACATGTTCAGACTGTGCAGGTTTTTTTCATTTCATTTCTTTTTTTTTTATTTGAGATGGAGTCTTGTTCTCGTTGCCCAGGTTGGAGTGCAATGGCACGATCTTGGCTCACTGCAGCCTCTGCCTCCCAGATTCAAGTGATTCTTCTGCCTCAGGCTCTCGAGTAGCTGGGATTACAGGCATACGCCGCCACGCCTGGCTAATTTTGTATGTTTAGTAGAGATGGGGTTTCTCCATGTCGGTCAGGCTGGTCTTGAACTCCTGACCTCAGGTGGTCCACCTGTCTCTGCTTCAAAAAGTGCTGGGATTACCGGCATGAGCCACGGCGCCCGGCCAGGAATCTTAATTTCCTGTGAGCTATTGGAGTTTTCCTTGCTATCCAGGGAGGTTCTGGTCAAGGTTGCTGAATGAGTATATGCAGAGAACTTTCTAATACATAAGAATAATGAGTGAAAATTCTTTTAAATATAAGGATATATAGACAGCTATGGACAAGGGATAGGAAAGAAATCTAAATAATAAGTGGAGACTAAAGCATGTCTTATCCTTGTCAAAAGATTGCATTTGAGCTTCCTACATGAAGTTGGGGGCTGAATCTCAGCCCTCCACCTATGAACTAAAGCTGAAATAAATTTGCTTGACTGCCATCAGAAAGTGTCATTTGCCTGTGGCCTAGGGAAAAAGTGGATATACTGGTTCGATAATAGGAACTGAGCTTGGATTGTATTTAAGTATGGTATCTTGAAGGGCAAAATCCCCAAACTCTGAAGATAAGACCTCGTTTAAGTTGTACAGCCCAGACGACTATACTAAGGGAACCATGAAACCATCTGACAGTGAGTATTATATAGAGGAAAATCATTCAAGATAAAATGAAATCCATACAAGGAAATCCACTGCCATGAGAAATTCCACAGAATGGGAGAATTCACATTGAAGAAAAAAGAAATAATGGAGGAGCAGTCTCAAAAGTGCTTTAATATGATTATAATTTTCAAAAAGATCAAGGAGGGGATAAGAACATCAGATTATTAACATGATTATTAACACATTTGCCCAAAGGCAAATAAAATGTTGGGAATCTTGACAATGAAAACTACAACAATTGAAGTTCTAAAAGCCCAATAAATTGGATGAACAGTAAACTAAACAAACTGAAAGAATTTGTGAATTGAAAGATAGAAATGAGACTGATCACAAAATGCAGAAGAGAGAAATACAATTTTGGAAACCAGGAAGACAACATAGATTGAGGAGGTCTAATATAGTTTCAGTAGGAATTCTAGAAGAAGATCCTAGAAGTGATAGAGGAAATAATCAAAGAATAATGCTGAGAATTTTTCATTCTTGAGGAAAGACATGAGCCCTCAGATTGAAGAAGTGTATGAAGTGCCAGATCAACTACTAGTTATATTACAGTACAATAGTAGACTGTTATGGATAAAGAGAACACCTTAAAAGCTATGGAGAGATTACCCATGGACAGTGATAATCTAATGAAAGCAGACTTCTCAGCCAGAATAGATGTTGGAACACTGCAGTAACAGTGCTGAGGGAAAGTTGTCAAAGAATCTGGTATCCAACCAAACTATCATTCCAGAGTGAAGGTGGAATAAAGACAGTTTCAGACATACAGGAGCTAATATATCAAAAATGCCTTTGGATGGAAGTAACAATACCCAACAAACAGTGGCTAACCAATGGAGACATTAATAACTAAATACATCTGGGGGTGTGAGAGTCAAGAAGTGGTTAATTGGCTTGAGAATGGCTTGACATCTGGGTAATTCTCATAGTCTCAAATGGCTGCATTAGTTTTAAGCATCATCCCTCTCATGGCATTAGCAAAAGTAAGAAAGAAAGGGGCAAGTGGAAATGGGCATTCTTGTGTGCTTGTCTCCTGCCAGGGAAGAAAGTCTTTCCCAGAAACCCTTCAGCAGAATTACCTTCAAATTTCTTTGGCCAGAACTGGGTGACATGTTTGTCACTAGTTCAGTCACTGGCAGAAGGAAATAGGAATTCTGTGATTGGCTTGGACTACTGTAGTATATCTTCTGGGACCAAGCACATCACCACCGTTACAAATTAGGGGGTTATTTTAGCAAGGAAGACGGGACAGTGATTGGGTCCTTCACACATGCTCCGCAGGAGGCTCTCTCTGGCAAAAAGTATTTGGTGCCATATTTAAGGATCATTGTACTAGTTTTACAAGAATGACAGCTTCTAATGGAATGGAAATTTTTTTATGTGCTCTGCATAGACTTAAAAAGTTTTATGTTCCTTTCGCATTGTAACAGTTCTTGAGCATCTATTTGGCAGTTAGAGTATTTCACTACTTTGACATAGTAGGTGGCACTGTTATTTTGATTTTTTTTCACCAAGACAGTATGAAGATACAGGTGTGTTTGGGAAATATGAAAGACAATTTACTCAGTATTATTTCACTGACAGCTGCCCAGGATTCCAGTGAAAATGTAATCTATATAAAGTGATGATGGTATCTCATTTGACCATCACAAATGAGATAACATCATATCTTATAAGGTAGTTTGTATTGTTGTCATTTTACAGTTGAGAAAATTCAGGTACAACAAGGTTAATAATGTGTCTATAAATGATAACTAAAATGTATTGTTGGTAAGACTCAAATCCAGTGTCTTTACATTCTACATCTAGTGGTCTTACAGTCTCCAAATTGACTAGATACATAAACTTTATTTTGGTACTAAGCTGTTAAGGGAAGATGGAGTAGGAAGCAAAGAGTGTGTGTGTGTGCTGTGTTTACCTGATACTGACATTAAACAGGCTTAGATTTTAATTAGTTCCCATAATATTTTAAGAATTATTTTAAGTAAGAGGAGCAAGGACAGAAAGATCTTGTGGTAGGAACCAGAGTGAATGCAATAAAACAAAGACTGCCACTTCCATATTGTATCCCAGTATAGATGTGGAGAGAACATATGCTTTGGTTTCAGAGAACATATGCTTTGAATGTGAAGCTTTCAAGATGCCATTTTGTTGTAGTTCTCGTGACAGTTTTCCCCCTCAAAATATTTTAGCTATTTTAGTTTTGCAAGTGTATATGTATTAGGCACTTAGGGATATACATTAGAACTATCAGTTGCTTGTGTTTTACCACTTCTTATATCTTGGCTTGCTTTGAGTTTATAAATGTTCTTCTCCCAATTTTATAGGTCTTATGGCAGTGTATACAAAGCTATTCATAAAGAGACTGGTCAGATTGTTGCTATTAAGCAAGTTCCTGTGGAATCAGACCTGCAGGAGATAATCAAAGAAATCTCTATAATGCAGCAATGTGACAGGTAAAGGCATATGGGCTTCCTTTGGGGAGAATGTGGTTTTGAATTTGCTGTGATTGTTTAGAGTTTGACACCTAGAGACACATTTACTTAGATATTTTGCGGAAGGGAGAATTCAATGGAATCACTGTACATGTTCTTTTCAGAAAAAAGTTATGATGAAAAAGGTTTTTTTGTAGCTAAACTTGTGTAGTTTTTATTTGTGCATGGCATTTTTTTCACCCAATTTTTCTATTTTTTTTTTTTTTGAGACGGAGTCTTACTCTGTTGCCCAAGCTGGAGTGTAGTGGCACAATCAGCACAATGCAACCTCTGCCTCTCAGGCTCAAGCGATTCTTATGCTTTAGCCTCCCAAGTAGCTGGGACTACAGGCATGTGCCACTACACCCTGCTAATTTTTTTGTATTTTTAGTAGAGACGGAGTTTCACCATATTGGTCAGGCTGATCTTGAACTCCTGACCACAAATGATCCACCTGCCTCAGTCAAATCCCAGAGTGCTGGGATTACAAGAGCGAACTACCGTGCCTGGCTTTTTTTCTTTTCAGTGAGCCCTTTTAGAAATTAGGAAGAAGAGGCAGAAGGTGGTGCTTGCTTTGTGTGTGTGTGTGTGTGTGTGTGTGTGTGTGTGTGTGTGATAATGATCTTTTTTACTTCCTATTGAGAAAACATTTCTGCAGAGATAGAACAGATAATTTAAATGTTTTTTAGTTCTAGAAACCTTAGAATATCAGGTAAATCTATAAAAAGAGAGTAGTTATGTATATATTACTGTTTGTTCTTTCACATTAACAAAAATTATTCTAGCTGAGAGTACTTAAGTATTTATTTTTGAGGAACTAAGATTTGTCAAATGCTATAAAAGCAGGAAGTCAGACCAAAAGGCAACCACAGAAAACCACGTGGTTTGTTCTGAAATTCCATGACAACATGGGTTGGTCACTGACAGAGGAGGCTTCCCCAGCACTGTTTAGAGACAAACAGAAAGTTGGGGGCAATGCCAGCTCTAGGGAGTTGAAGATGGGTGAGAAATTCTTCCAGTTGAGGCTGCATTCATTCTTCGGAAGGTTTTTTGGTTATCAGATCAACTTAGTACCTCCTGTTTGTAAAACTTCTACATTAGGGTAGGTGGGGCTACCTACCAGAAAATTAGTCCAGAAGCCTTTCAATTTCACAGACTTGGGAATACAGCCCTTTCTTTTCTTCCTCCCTCCTTTTTTTTCCCCTTCTATTTTTGTGATTACTGTCTACTAGATAAAGTCCCCATTTTTCTTGATTGGATTGACTAGATGAAGGTGGCAGTTTTCCATTTTCTCCTCTTTGAGATACATTTTGGAGGTTCTTTCCATTTGGCAAATTGGGACTTTGTCACTTTTCAATAGACTTTGCAGAAGCTGTGTTCCAAACAGGGTATGGAAATGTCTTTATTAGAGAAGAGATATTTTGAACAGTCTATTCTGCTAAGCACTGTAAGGAATACAGCAACAGAGCAGAGTCTTTTTGCTCTGGGAGTTTATAGACTAATTGGACAGGCTAAGTACATATATATATATAGGAGAATCTAGCCAACAATGCAAGACTATAGAGAATATATTCCAGTAGTAAATACCTGTTAGTAATGGCCTACAGTACTTAACTCTTGTAAGTCCTGTATTACAGGGAGAGCAAATGTGTTGATATTTACCTTAGACACTTTTTCATTAATTTAGACACTTTTTCATTAATACTTTGTGTGTGTGTGTGTGTGTTTTGCTGTCCTTGTCACTGGCATGTTTCCCAAGGTTTGAACAGGAAATTCTGAGTTCTGAGTTAATGAAGCCAATTTGGTTTGAGCATCAGTTGTTATGAAACTTTAATTGGCCGTGACAGCAATCTAGCCAGTTAAAGCAGCAGCTCTCAGAGGGCACATTATTTCGTTTTAATGAGGTATTTGATTTTTCTCTGAAAGTTTTTGTTTGGTATCTCTCTTCCAGCTTGAGACCTAACATTTGAGGTTTGATCCTGAACATTTTTTCTTTATAATAGATTGTAGTGTGTGTGTGTGTGTTTTCATTAAAAGTACATATGACTTCTTAGAAACATTCAAATGAAAAGAAAATAAAATCACTTTTCCCTTTGGAGAAATCATCATCGTTAAATACTGCTTGATATACATATTCTTCCAGATCTCTTTGGAGTTTTACAGTACTTACTGCTTTATTAGCCTGACTTGTTTGTTTGTTTTTATAAACACAGTATCTTCTCATGTTATCAAATACTCCTCTATAACATTTTCATGGATTCATGATATTATATGGCTGTATTATTATTTCTTTAAAAAACTCACTAATGTTGAATGGACATTTAGATGATATCTAAATTTCCACTTTCATCAATAGTGCTATGATGGTAATTGTTATTTTTTGAACATTTGTAATTCTTTTTTGAGGATAAATTGTAGACATAGAAATGCTGATTAAAGGACCCACCCATTTTTTATACTTTGATGATTTATTACCCTCCAGAAAAGCTATATCATTTTGCATTTCTATCAGGAGGTTGCCCATTTTATCCTTAACTATGAGTAATTGATCTTTCCAGATGAGGAATTAATTTGTATATACTTAACCGCCTGAATTAAGAGATGTTTGAAGGCCATTTTATTAATTTGTATTCTCTCTCTCTCTCTAGCCATCATGTAGTCAAATATTATGGCAGTTATTTTAAGAACACAGACTTATGGATCGTTATGGAGTACTGTGGGGCTGGTTCTGTATCTGATATCATTCGATTACGAAATAAAACGGTAGGTTTACCTTCTAGAACAATGCAGCTGCTAGTCTCTTATGCCATCTTTTTTTCTCTGGCCTCTTTTTCGGTGCATTCTCCTACCAGAGAGATGACTGCCAGATTTTCCCTTTTCCATGGTTCTTTTCCCTCTTTACTCTTTTATGTCTCTTAAGTCTGACAGCTTTTGTTTTCTTTTTTTTTTTTTTATGAGACAAGTCTGACTCTGTTACCCAAGCTGGAGTATAGTGGCAGAGTCGTAGCTCACTATAGCCTCTACCTCTTGGGCTCCAGTGATCCTCTCACTTCAGGCTCCTGAGTAGCTGGGACTGCAGGTGTGTACCACCATGCCCAGCTAATGTTTTGTTTTGTTTTTAATTTTTTTTTTTTTTTTTGTGGAGACAGGGTCTCACTATATTGCCCAGGCTGGTTTTGAACTCCTGGCCTCAAGCAATCTTCCCACCTCTGCCTCCCAAAGTGCTGGGATTACAGGCATGAGCCACCATGCCTGGCAATGTGGTAGTTTTAATGCCAATTTAGTGCAGTGATTTTTTTAGCATGCTTTGCTTATTTCTTACTGGGAAAAAAATGACTATTAAATCTTGGTTATTGAATGAATTTTAAATGTTTAAATTTGGATTTGGATTTGGGTTTCTGCTTCTACCCAGCACGTTCACAGATTAACTTCCTTTATTTCCTGTTAATCGAGAATAATCCCCTTATGAAAGATTATTTGCTGTTAACTGTGGTTGCCAGTATAAGACCTAGGAGTCACGGGTTCTAGTTCTGGTTCAGTTACTTAATCTCTTTATGTATTCATTCAGTAAATATTTCTTGAACACTGCTTTAGGCCTGAGGGATCCAGTAGCAAATAAAACAGATGACAACTCTGCTGTCATGGTAGTGCACTTTGGAATAGGGCAACAAAACAAATTTATGATGGCCATTAATAGAAAAGATAGAATAATGATAAATACTATGAAGAAAAGGAATGAGGAGGAAGTGATGGTAAAGTTATGGAGAGTGCTTGGTGGGCTATTTTAGAGTAGATAGTTGAGGACGGTCACTCAGAAGTGGTATCATTTACAGGAAGACTCAAATGACAGAAAGGAGCTAAGAGTCCTGAAGGAACATTCAGGGTGGGCAATAACCAGCACAAAGACCTTGAGGCTGGAATGAGTTTGGCATGTCTCAGTGCTGGAAGGGCTACCATGACTGGAAGAGAATAGGCCAAGGAGAAGCTGTAGGAGATGGGGTTTGACAGGTGGGCAGGCCTAGATTGTGTTGGATATTGTAGGTCGTAGGAATGAGTTTGAATTTTATCCCAGGTACAATAGGAAACTATTGCTGGATTCTAAGCATGTGAGTAAGCCATCTGTTGTGTGTTTTAGAAGGATAACTCTGGGGCTGGGTGTGCCACTTCATGCCTGTATTCCCAGCACTTGGGGAGGCTGAGGCAGAGGATTGCTTGAGCCTGGGAGTTTGAGGCCAGCCTGGGTAACATAGTGAGAATGCGTCTCTACAAAAGAAAAAAGAAAAAAAAATTAGTCAGATGTGGTGTCATGCACCTGTAGTCACAGCTCCTTTTGGGGTATGATGGGGTTGAAGTGGGAGTATTTCTTGAGCCCAGGAGGTTAAGGCTGCTGTACACTGGGCAACAGAGTGAGACCCTGTTTCAGAAAATAAAAAAGTTAACTCTGGCTTCTGTGTAGATTGTGACTGGATAAGAGAAAAAGCAGGGGAAATCTTAACCTTAAGTTTTTTTTTTTTCTTAATAAGAAAAATAAGAATAATGCCTATATTACATATTTGCAAAGTTGGGAAAATTAAATATATAAAAGTACTTTGTAAATTGTGAGGTGCTACAGAAATTAGAAGGTGGGAGTGTTTTAAAACTGAGTTATAACCTTTGGATTATTCATATACTATCTTCGTGATTTACATTATTCAGAATTAGTGTGTTTGCCTAATCAAATAGCAAGTTCTTTAGCTAGGCATAGTATCCTAACATAAGATATATATAAAGAAGTTCCAAAACTGGAATAATTTATTGAATTAAAAATTGGACTTCAGGGCTTCTTACATGTAGCATCAAGTCATTTTATTTCAGTTATTTTAAGCCAGTTCAAAATTAATTTTGATGGCACTTTTGATGTTTTTTTGCCATTGTAATGTTAGTTTATTTATGTAAATTTTAACTTAATTACTAAGTGCTGATTTTTAATTACTACACATTATTTTGCTAAGTGTTAAAACTCTACCCTGTCTACCATGATATCCACTAGCCACATGTGATTATTAAGGATTTAAAATGTGGCTAGTCTGAACTGAGATATGCTGTAAATATAAATTATACACCAGAGTTTGAAGAATTGTTACCAAAAAATTATAAAAAACAAGTCTTTAATTTTTTCATATTGATGACATGGTGGAGTGATAATATTTTTAATAAAATGGTTAAGTAAAATAGATTATCAAAATTGATTCTTTCTTTCTTTCTTGTTTTCTTTCTTTCTTTCCTCTTACTCTATTGGCCAGGCTGGAGTGCAGTGGTATGATCATAGGTCACTGCATGTTGGAACTCTTGGGCTCAAATGATCCTCCTGCCTCAGCCTCCTGAGTAGCTGGGATCACAGTCACCAGCCACTGCTCCTGCTTGTTTCCTTTTTCAGTGTGGCTACTAGAAAATTAAAAATCATATTTGTGGCTCCTAGTATATTTCTGTTAGGCGGTGCTACTTTAACTGATTAGCTTAGCTGGTTAGAATAAAGAGGTGGTAAATCAAGTGATGAGCTTTGTTCTCTTCCACTACAGAAGGTACCCCAAACTCTAGCCTACTACCTTGCCAATAGTGTTTGCCTGGACTTTAGTGAAAGCTTTAACAATTTCTCTGTGATCTTTGGCATAAATGACTTAACTTGTCTGTGCCTCTGCTTCATTATGTATAAAATGGTGATGATAATAATGGTTCCTCTACTTCATTTAGTTATAAGGATTAAATGAGATTACAAACATAGTGTTTAGTATAGATTAAATACTTAGTAACAGTTAGCCATTATATATATATATATTTTGTGACAGAATCTGGCTGTGTCACTCAGGCTGGAGTACACACGATCTCAGCTCACTGCAACCTCCACCTCCCAGGTTCAAGTGATTCTCCCGCTTCAGCCTCTTGAGTAGCTGGGATTACAGGTGCCCACCGCCACACCTGGCTAATTTTTGTATATTTAGTAGAGATGGGGTTTCGCCATGTTGGCCAGGCTGGTCTTGAACTCTTGGCCTCAAGCGATCTGTCTGTCTCGGCCTCCCAAAGTTCTGGAATTACAGGCATGAGCCACCATGCTTGGCTGTTTTTCATATTATTAGCATAATACCTGGCTCTTATTAAATATTGATTGATAATATCTTGGGTATTAAATTATGATGCCTTATATTAATTGATTTTCATGACACTCTTAAAGAAAAGTGATATTCCTATTTTGTAGATTGGGAAACAGACTAAGAGAAGGTCAGTAACTTGCTTAAGTCACATGAAAGTAGAGCCAAGAGTAAAAGCTATATCTTCCTAATCCCAATCCTATAGTTTTTTCACCAGAGCACACTCCATTTCATATCTGAGTTGTTTGTCAGAAGGGAAACTTTGTAACAGCTTTTTGGTAGATTGAGTTTGTTTAGGACCAGTGTTGGGTCTGCACAAAGTCTGTGTTGGACAGATGAGATATTCTATATTAGTTTCTAGCATTCTCACTTTCATTTACTTATCATTGTTCAACAGATATTTTTTCAGTGTCTGCTGTGTGCCAGGTGACTTTATTGGTGTTAGGGAAACAAAAGTAAACAAATTAGACATTTTTAGGAGCTTGTGTTTCTAACAGGGAAGACATCACACAAATAGATAAATAATGGGTAATATGTCAGATGGTAGTATACTGCAGTGACAAGGTAATTTTAGGGAATAGAGAATGAGGTAGAAATGGAGTACGAAAGCCCTCTCCATTTTCTGAGGAGGTGACATTTGGGCAGATAGCAAAGTGAGGAAGCAAACTGGATAGACATCAGGATGAAGAGAATAGGTAGTTGAAAGGACCCAGAAAGGGGAGTGTGCTTAGAGTGTTTGAGGAACAGCAGGGAAACAAGCCCTTTTTGAAACAGATTGAGCAAGGTAGAAAGTGGTAGAAGATGAAGTTGAAGAGGTAGCTGGGAGGCAGATCATGTAAAGTTTTGGTAAGGACTGACTTCTATTTTAAGTAAGTTGGGAAAACGTTGATAGGTTTTGACTCTGGCTTATGTTTTTATTATAGCTTCTGTGTGGAAAGTACATTGTAGAGCATCAAGGGCAGAAACAAATAAACCAGACAAGAGATCATGAGAATAGCACAGGCAGGACACAATGGTGACTTGGACCACAGTGATTACAGAGGGGGTATTTGAATATACAGTATTTTGAAGATAGAGAGGAGTCAAGGATGACTTCAAGGTTTTTGGCCAGAGCAACTGAAAGAGTGAAGTTTCCCTTTACTGAGAGAGGGAGAACCGTGGGAGAAGTAGGGTAGGTTGGATGGATCAGAGGGAGAAGAGTAAGGTGGTAGACATAAAGAGTTTGATTTTGACATGTTATGCTTATGTTGTGGGCTAGGTACTCCAGTTGGAGATGTTGTGTAGGCAGATACATAAATCTGAGTGAGGGGAGATCTGGTATGGAAATACAGCTTTGGGAGTGGTCAGTGTATCTATGGTATAAGCAGCCATACTGTTCACAGGTTGAATAAGATCTGTTTATCTTCAAGAAAGGTGTTTGGATCTATTTTTTTCTCCTTTATCTAATGCGCTGATGTAAACTGATAGAACTTGAACTTCTTACTCTTTTTTCAGTTAACAGAAGATGAAATAGCTACAATATTACAATCAACTCTTAAGGGACTTGAATACCTTCATTTTATGAGAAAAATACACCGAGATATCAAGGCAGGAAATATTTTGCTAAATACAGAAGGACATGCAAAACTTGCAGATTTTGGGGTAGCAGGTCAACTTACAGTAAGTAAAAATATTACTTGTATTGATAATTTTCGGTTCTGTCTTGAGAAACAGTTCCTTTTATTTACTTATTTTTAAAATATAATACTTGATTTAATTGTATTAGTAACAAGTTACAGAATCTACCAATAGGTTACAAAAGAACTGGTCAGTGGGTTATTTTAGATCTTTTCCTGGAGTTCAGGTCACATAGCTTAACTTTGTTTAACTTTTATAAAGATGAAAAGTAAAACAAGAAAGGATAGATTACTCTAGTGGATTACATCAATATATTTATAAAAGGAAGAAAAATTAAGTCCAGATGCTTTCCTTAACTAAGACATAACATCATCTCATTCAACCTCCAGGTAGTACTTGGCAGTTACTGTACTGAAAACAATCTCTTCGTTTGAGTCCAGGATACAGTCTCTTGATTCGTCTCCTGCCTAACTAGTACATGGAAGTGAAAGAAGAAAATTAAAAACTTGTTTTCAAAATAAGAAGTCTAGAATTATTCGGTTCTATAAAATACATAAATATATATGAAAGTATATATAGAAAAACAGAAGCAGTTCTAGGCAGGTATACACTAAAATACACTAACATTTGCAACAATGTTACATATCAAGGGGTTTTCTGGGGTGGTAGAATGAATATAGTGTGTGTTTAAAACTGGTGTTATGTACATTTTAAATTTTTTTAATTTTAAGTCTGTCTGGGACATGTTAGGGAGTCTCAGGTATTGTAACAGCACATAAATTGCTTTGATGTTTAAAATAAATCAGAAGATTATTCAATATTATGATTTGTGGACTCTCCAGAAGTTTTTGTTGTTAACAGACAAGTAAACAATACCAGACAGTATTATCTAAACCACAATCTTAGTAAGGAAACCAAATTGAAAAAATACATCGTCTCATGATGTATAAAAAAATGTAATATTGATTGGGTGTGGTGGCTCACCCCTGTAATCCCAGCACTTTGGGAGTCTGAGGTGGGAGGATCACTTGAGGTCAGGAGTTTGAGATTAGCGTGGCCAACATGGTGAAACTCAGCCTCTACTAGAAATGCAAAAATTAGCTGGGCATGGTGGCACGTACCTGTAATCCCAGCTACTTGGGAGGCTGATGCAGGAGAATCGCTTGAACCTGGGAGGCAGAGGTTGCGGTGAGCTGAGATTGCGCCGTTGCACTCTGCATTCCAGCCTGGGCAACAGAGTGAGACTCTGTCTCAAAAAAAAAAAATTATACATATATATAAATAATATTAAAATAAGAGTATCTATTCCACAGTAATAATTTTAGTAATTGATTCCCCGATAATGACTTACTCAATAATGACTGACAGTGTTCTTATTGCTATAATTCCTGCCTTGGCAGAATTTTTCTCCCCTTTTAATTCAGTGTTAGTATATTCACAAAATTGTGCATCTATTACCAATATCTAATTCCAGAACATTTTCATCATCCCCAAAATAAACTGCACCCTTTAGCAATTACTCCCCATTCTCACCCCAGCCCTTGACAACCGCTAATCTACTTTCTGTCTCTATAGATTTACCTATTCTGAGTATTTCATATAAATAGAATCATACGTGATGTGCCCTTTTGGTTTTGGCTTCTTTCGTTTAACAATGTTTTCTAGTTCATTCATGTTGTAACATGCATCAATTCTTCGTTCTTTTTTATGGCTGAATAATATTCCTTAATGGCTATAACGCATTTTGTTTACTTACTCAGTAGTTGAATATTTAGATTGTTTCTGCTTTTTGGCTGTTAGGAATAATGCTACGATGAAATTCGTGTACAGGTTTTTATGTGAATCTTTGTTTGCATATGATATACAGAGTTGCTGGGTCACGTGGTAACTCTGTGTTTAATTTTTTAAGGAATTGCCAAACTGTTTTCTAGAGTGGCTCACCATTTTATGTTCCCACTTCTATGTATGAGAATTCTAACTTTTCTGCATCCTTGCCAACACCTGTTCTTTTTTGTGTTTTTGATTATAACCATCCTAGTGAGTATGAGGTAGTATCTCTTTGTGGTTTTGATTTGCATCTAATGACTAATGATGTTGACTGTCTTTTCTTCTGCTTATTGGATATTGTGTATCTTTGGGAAAATGTCTCTTTAAATCTTTTGCCCATTTTTAATTGGGTATTTACCTTTTTAGTGTTGGGTTGTAAGAGTTCTTTATATATTTTAGATAAAAGTCCCTTATCACGTCCATGATTTGCAAATATTTTCTCTCATTCTGTGGGTTGTCTTGAAGATGTCCTTAGAAATATAAAAATTTTAAATTTTGGTCATGTCCAGTTTCTTTTTGCTTTTGTTGCTTGTGCTTTTGGTGTCACATCTAAGAAATCATTAGCTAATGCAGGGTCAAGAAGATGCACTCCTGTGGTTTCTTTGAAGTGTTTAATAGTTCTAGCTCTTATATTTAGATCTATAATTTGTTCTGAGTTAGTTTTCATGATGTAAGGTAGGCATCCAGTTTCATTCTTTTTGCATGTTGATATGTAGTTGTTTCAACATTTTCTGAAGAGACTGTTTTTTCTTTGTTGAAATGTATGAGTTTATTTCTGTGTCGATTCTGTTCCATTGACCTATATGTTTGTCCTTGCACCGGTACTATGCTGTCTTGATTCCTGTAAGTTTGACGTAAGTTTTGAAATTGGTTAAATGTGAGTGCTCCAACTTTGTTCTTCTATTTCAAGATTATTTTGGCTATTCTGGGTCCCTTGTATTTCCACATAAATTTTAGGATCAGCTTGTCAATTTCTGTAGAAAAGACTATTGGGATTTTGGTAGACATTGTTTTGAATCTTAAATCAGCTTGGAAATATTGCCATTTTGGCAATATTGTCTTCCAATCTATGAACATAAGATGTCTTTCCATTTTATTTAGATTTTCTTTAATTCTTTTAGCAGTGTTTTATAATTTGCAGTGTACAAGTTTGCATGTATTTGGTTAAATTCATTCTTAAGTAGTTTGTACTTTTTGATGGTATTTTAAGTGGATTTGCTTTGTTTTCAGATTGTTCATTGCTAGTGTAATATATAATTGATTTTTGTATATTATCTTGTGCCCTGATGCTTCTTTTTAAATTAACTATGAACATGTATGTTTTGTTAAAAAGATGAGTTTTTTTCCTTCACTAAAATAAACTGAAACTGTAGTATAAGATGATCTGACTGAGCTGTGTGGTTGTAAAACCGCCAATACTAAGTTTAGGCCCTTCTCTGGTCTCTGTTGTGAATCAGGAACATTAAGTGAGCATTAACATGCTAACAATGGGGATTGTTAGCATGTTAATGCTCACTTAATGTTCCTGATTCACAACATCACCTGCACTCTCTATAGTCTAGAGATCCTTCACTCCCCAGAGAGTACACCTCCAGTCTAATGCCAGGGTTGGGCAAGGGAAGCCCGCTAGTTGCTTGATGTGAGAGGAGGGTTTAGGGTGTTTAGCTGCTTCTTAACTCTTTAAACCCAGGCTTCCTGTTTTGACGTCTATTTTTACCCCTCTTTTCTCTACCTGATGCCACCAATTTCTAAGCCTTTTGGAGGGGTTGGTGTTAGAATCAGGTTGTTTCTTCGTCTTCCTGGTGACTGACTCAGGATTCCATTTTGTAGTCTGTTCAGTTAATTACTACTGGGCCATCTGCTCTCCAGCATTTAAAATTTTGTGGCTGTGGTTGTTTTCCTCTTTGTTTCTTATTCTTGTAGATTTATTCTTAAAAAATAATCCTTTTAGTATCTCTTTGTGTGAGTTTTGAGGGAGAGTGAAAGTAAAATGTATTTGCTCAAGCTGTCATCTTTACCCAAGACTCTGTGATATTATTTCTGGTGGCAATATGGGTATTTCATTGTGTGATTTATTTAACTCTTTCCCTATAGTTGGATGTTGGATGCCCATTAAGGTTGCTTAGAGTTTTCCCACCACTCTAAACATAAACTCTGTGATTAACATTCCTGCAACTAAATTTTGCAGCATTTCCTTGAGTAAATCCTTAGGATAATTTCTTTACATTGGAATCTGGGTCAGAAAATATGTGAATGTATATTGCCAAAGTGGTTTTGATGCATATTGTTGAATTTCTTCTGGAAGTGAACAATTTCAGTTTCCAACTTCAGTATCTAAATGTGCTCTTTCCCCCTCATAGTTGCTAATGCTGGATGGGCAGTAACTTGTATCTTCCTTGCCATTTCTCAGAGCAGTTCACTTATTTTTGCATTTGATTATTGGCCATTTATAAACAATTCTTTTGTAAATGTTCATTTTTGTGTGTGTCAGTTTTCCTAATTGAATGTTGGACTTTTTTGGTGGGGGAGACAGGTTCTTACTGTGTCACCTAGGCTGCAGTGTAATGGCATGATCATGGCTCATTGCAGCCTCAACCACCGGGCTCAAGTGATCCTCCCATCTTGGCCTACTGGACAGCTGGGACTACAGGCATACACCCCACCACACCCAGCTAATTTTTAGTAGTTTTCGTAGAGACAGGGTTTCACCATGTTGCCCAGTCTGGTCGCAAACCCCTGGGCTCAAGCAGTCTGCCTTCCTTGGCATGCCAGGATTACAGGTTTGAGCCATTGTGCCTGGGATTACAGGCTGGGATTATAGGTTTCAGCCATTGTGCCTGGCTGAGTGTTGCATCTTTTAAAGACATCAGTTAAAAAAAAAAACACCAAAAGTAAAAAAAATTATGTTAAAGTTGTTACTCCTTTGTTGTATACGTTGAAATATCTTCTAGTTTACTAGTTGTCTTTTAATGTTGACTATGGCTTTTTAAAAAAATACTACAAAACTTTCTAAATTTTATATAGAAAAATCCATCTACCTTTTATCTTATGGTTTCTGTCTTTGATGTCGTGCTTAAAAAACCCTTTCTCCTTAACATTATAGAACAGTAGTTATTCTATTTTTTTAAAATTTTTTATTTTTTTTTGAGACAGGGTCTTGCCCTGTCACCCAGGCTGGAGTGCAGTGGCATGATTGTGGCTTACTGGGGCCTTGAACTCCCAAGTTCAAGCGATCCTCCAGTGTCAGGCTCCCAAGTAGCTAAGACTACAGGTGTGCCAGCTCATCCAGTTAAAGTTTTAAAATATTTTGTAGAGATGGCCTCTCCCTATTTTATCCAGGCTGGTCTAGAACTCCTGCCTCAGCCTCCCAAAGTATTGGGATTAGAGGTATGAGCCACCACACCTGCTCTGTTGCTCAGGCTGGAGTACAGTGGCATGATTGTAGCTCACTGTAACCTTGAACTCCTGGGCTTAAGTGATCCTCCCGCCTTGCCTCCCAAGTAGCTAGGACTACAGGCACATGCCACCTTGCCTAGCTAATATACTTACTTACTTATTTATTTATTTTAGACAAGAGTCTCACTCTGTCGCCCAGGCTAGAGGGCAGTAGTGTGATCTCGGCTCACTGTAACCCCTGTCTCCCGGGTTCAAGCAATTCTTGTGCCTCAGCCTCTTGAGTAGCTAGGATTACAGGTGCCCACCATCACACGTACAGCTAATTTTTTTGTATTTTTAGTAGAGACGGGGTTTCGCCATGTTGCCCAGCTGGTTTTGAACTCCTGAGCTCAGGCAATCCTCTGGCCTCGGCCTCTCAAAGTGGTGGGATTACAGGCATGAGCCACCATGCCTGGCCATCTAATGTATTTTAAAAGTATTCTTTGGGCTTTGTTTTTTATGTTTAAAATTTCAACTTATTTGAACTTATTTTGGTGAAAGTATAAGGTAGGCATTTAAGTGTAGAGTTTTACAAATGACTGGCTAGATTCTCAGTGCTTTTTTTTCCCATAATCTATTCTTTGCTTGCTGATTTTAAATGACATTTTAATTATAAATCATATCATATGTATGTGGCATATATAACAGGTTGTTATATATACATATATATGATATGATATATATACACATGCCATAGTCAATGTCTGTACTTTATATTTTTTATTGCTATGCTATTATGCTAATATAACTTTGTAATATAAATCTAATTGGGGTTAGGTTACACTCATTCCCCTTACTTATTTTCAAAAACTTTCTAGCTATGCAAGTAACCATTTCTAATTGAAATAATCCAGTGAAAACAACTTTGACTACCACCATTTGAAAATACCCCTGCAAAGTTGAAGTTTCAGAGCTAAGGAAATGACTAAGCATAAGTTAGTTCCTGTGTTAATCTTTTACATAGGACTGACGATGAGATTGATTTAAATTACCTGTCATTTACTTCTGACTGGCATAATCTAAGTCACAGGCATTTCAAGGAATATCGGTGATGATGATTGGAAGTACTTTTTAAAATTTAGTTCTGTTTAAAAATCCTTCTTTTGTCGGGCGTGGTGGCTCATGCCTGTAATCCCAGCACTTTGGGAGCTGAGGTAGGTGGGTTACCTGAGGTCAGGAGTTCGAGACCAGCTTGGCCGACATGACGAGACCCTGTCTTTACTAAAAATGCAAAAATTAGTCAAGTGTGGTGGTGGGCATCTGTAATCCCAGCTACTTGGAAGGCTGAGTCAGGATAATCACTTGAACTCCTCCAGGTGGAGGTTCCAGTGAGCCAAGATTGCACCACTTCACTCCAGCCTGGGCAAAAGAGTGAAACTCTGTCTCAAAAAAACCTTAAAAAAAAATCCTTTTGTTAGAAGCATGGGAACCGTAGGAAGGTTCTCTTTCAGTAGGGCCATGCCATCCTGGGAAAGTATACAGGTAGTTATTTGCTGTAATGTGTGCTACATCCACATATTCTTCTTTAGGCCACAAACTAAGATATTTTGTGTATTTTTTTTATATATCAATTTTTAAGTTTTTTAATTGCACATATATGCTCATATAGACCTTCAGAATGTTACAGATGTATATAGGAAAGACAGTAAAAATCTTTAATTATTCTGCTTACTAGATGTAACTATTATCGATAGTTTGGTATATGTTACTCCAGATATTTTGTGCTATGATATAACAACATTTCTTACTATTGGTTGTTGTTTTATTATTGTTATATGATTTTCCTTTTACAAAAACAGGGCTATATTTTATATAATTTTACAAACTTTTTTTTTTTTGCTTTGTAATGTGTGTTGTGCATTTTTTCCATGCTAGGAGAAGGTATATATCTTCATTTTTTTTTTTTCTTTTTAATATGATGTTTCAGTATATGGTTATTTATTATGTTTGACTTACTATCTTTTGATGGTCATTTGAGTTGTGTCCTTTTCCCCCTCGTTTCCCCCATTACAGACATTTCTACAATCCTTGTGCATGTAGTTTGGGACACTTGAACATAAGATAGATTTCAACAAATAGATTTGGATGGAAGGATATGAGTACTTAAAAGTTGAATAAATATTGCCAACTTGTGTAGTAAAATGTTCTACTAATTTATCTGCAGTAACACTGTATTTCAGTGCCTGATTTTCTATGCTACTGTCAGCATTAATTCTTTTTAATTTTGTTTCAATCTTTAGTTCGTGTTTTAATAGTTGAGAATCTTTGTGTGTTTCTTTGTCATTTGGATTTCTTCTGTGCCTGCTTGATCATGCTCAGAGTATAGTTTTTTTTTTTTTTTTTTTTT